AGAGAGAGAGAGAGAGAGAGAGAGAGAGAGAGAGAGAGAGAGAGAGAGAGAGAGAGAGAGAGAGAATTTTTTACTTGCCCCACATCTTCATTACTTTCTATGTGTGATTATGTGAGCTGCAGGTGGTGAGCGTAATCAATTACGCCGATTGCAGCGGGAAATTTCTCAGTAATCGATTTTAACTTCCAGTAATCGGTTACCAAAGGAGTTTAATCGAAGACCGTCTTAAAATATAGCAATCTAACACAACCCATCATGACCTTTTCTTCGATTTGTTTTACTCTACAAGTGGATGCTATTCCGTCCGTGAAAGCTTGGTTATGAGTAATGATTCTTTTTTATTTATCAAAAAAAAAAAAAAAAAAAATCTGGCGCATATTGCTCCTCCACGCTCCTGGGGAAGAAGGGAGGCGAGAAAGGGCGACACACGCACACACGCACGCACACGCACAGACTAAACTAAAACCGTACATGCATACCTTGCACTCTACAAATATACCACCATATAATCCATTTCCAGGAAAAAGTATTCGGAAAGTAATCGATTACTAATAGCAAAAGTAATCGAAATAATCGACTGCATAAAAAAAAATGAGCATCGTCATCACTAGCGAGCTGTATAGCTGTTTATTCACCCAACACACGAAATATATCGAACCGAAAAGAGTACACCATTTGTTCTCATTCTCAATACTCTTATTTAAACTTTAACTTTATCATTACATGGCGTTCATTCAGTCGGCCCTGAAATTCAGTTTAAGGGTGAAAATTCCCCTTATGTGATCTCGGGAATAACCCTTACGCATTAGGGTTATCTCGTCCGTCCTTCCCCTACAATGAAACTATCTTTCTATTTCCTTAATATTTTCTTGTTATTCCTATTATTTCCTTGATGTTTCTGTCATTTCTTTAATATTCATGTTATTTCTTTGATGTTCCTATTAACTTCGACGTTCCTTCAATGGATGTCATCTAATCCTCAACAACATATAGTTTTCGAAAAAAAAGCGAGTTCTCTGTACTTCGTGACGTTATGGAAGTCTGAGTGTCTGTTTCTTTCATTTCACCGAATTGAATATTTTTCTCTCTTTTGATACATCTTGTTTATTGTAAAATTAGTTGTAGTTTTGCATGGTGCTTTCTTGGTTCTTTTATCTGCAGCCTTTCCCCTTTTTTCTGCAGCCACTCTGCACACACACACACACATATATGTGTGTGTGTATGTGTATATATATATATATATACATACATACATACATATATATATATATATATATATATATATATATATATATATATATATATATATATATATATATATATACATACATATATATATATATATATATATATATATATATATATATATATATATATATATATATATATATATATATACAAATATATATGTCGATGGCGAACTGTCTAAGCCCATATAGATTAGAGAGGGTGTAAGACAAGGCTGCGTGTTCTCGCCTGATTTGTTCAACCTATATAGGGAGAAGATCTAGCGGGAAATTGATGACTTACCTGGACTCATCATCGGAGGACAAAACATGACAAATCTGAGATATGCCGATGACACAGTGCTCATTCCAGACACGGTGGAAAAGAAGCAAGAAATATTTGTGTTAGAAAGTGAGCGAAGGAGTCTGAAGATGAATACCAAGAAGACAGAATGCATGGTTATCAGCAAACGGAAGGAAGGCTCAGAGTGCAAGATTTGCATCAATGATGAACAGGTGAAGCAAGTTTGTCAGTTCAATTACCTGGGGAGCCTTATTACATCGGGCGGAAAGTGCGACCAGGAGGTGAAAAGGAGAAAAGCCATGGCTAAGGATGTATTTCAGAAGATGACGAACATCTGGACGAAGTGTGAAGTGTGGCGACGAAACTGAGAGTTCAGGAGTGTTATGTCCTTCCGGTTTTAACATACGGTTCGGAATGCTGGACATTATCACCAACATTGGTCCAAAGGATTGAAGCAGCAGAAATGTGTTTTTTGAGGCGCTTATTGAGAGTGAGTTGGTCCAGTCACACTACAAATGAAGTTGATTATCGCCATCCGGAGAAGACAGTAAGAGTTCCTTGGCCACATCTTGTGGAAAGGTTATCAATGACCGGGATGATTGAGGGCGACACACACACAGATCACGGAAGACAGCGGCTTACTTTTGTGAAGAGCCTCACACAGTGGATGAGGTAGGACTGCCCTGAGGTGCCTCATGCCTCAACGGACCGTATTTTGTGGAAGACTATGGTCGCCAATGCCCTTCGAGGATACGAGGGAGGGAGAGAGAGAGAGAGAGAGAGAGAGAGAGAGAGAGAGAGAGAGAGAGAGAGAGAGAGAGAGAGAGAGAGAGAGAGAGAGAGAGAGAGAGAGAGAGAGAGAGAGAGTGACAGAGACAGACAAACAGACGGACAGACGGACAAACAGACAGGTGCTAAGTCTATTAAGAAGACGCACCGGAAACAGACCCACATATCAGACAAGGATATCAAACCCATAATAATTGGCGCCCGTGTTGAAGAGAACGCCGCCACGCATAGCTGCTATTAAATAAACATGAGCAGCTAAATGGAATCATAAATAGAGAAACCAAATTAATTTCCCGGTAAAGACTTACGTGTCATCCAGGAACTTCCCCGTAACCTCATAAGAAGAAAGTAAAAATGAACCTCAA